TTTATCTTCGCTTCATTTCACCTAGTTAGATTTTTCCCATCATCTAAATGGTTTGGCTGGGGGGTACTAATTAATGATATTTAACACATGGCTAACACTTTCAACACTTATCTTATGCCCATGTATTGCTAGGTACCGGGCACTATTTTAAGTATTTTTTTTACAAGTTCATTTTGATGCCAAGAGTTTTGAAATCTGTGCATAGTTTTTCCATGACACACAGTTTTAGATTGTTTTTGGCCAGAGGGCATGTGTGCTCACCAGAGAGAGAAAGAGAAAAAGCACTTTTCAGTGGGGCCTGGCCACGATATGATCCTATTTCTTCCATTTCTCCATCCTGTCAGGATTTGGGACACACACACACACACACACACACACACACACGCCTGGTATGTTTTAAAGTCACTAGGGCCAGGATTGGAACCGCAGTTGGCCATGTGGGATACAACTCCCACACAGAGCACTTAACCACTGTGCTTGGGGCTGGCCCTGTCTAATTTACATATTTTGATAAATTAACTTTACCTTCATTCAACTCCACAACTGTCCTGCAGTGTAGGTTTTATTCACATTTTACAAATGACAAAGCCAAGGCATAGAAAGGTTGTGTTCATGTGGTGAATTGTGCCTCTCACTAAAACAGAACTAAACACCCAAACTTAAAAGCTTGCTTTTATTGCAAATTTTATTGCTTGATTTTAATTCAATGGAATGGCCATGAGTGGCTTTTCGTATGATTTTACTCCTTTGAATCATTCATTCAATGCTACTTAACGCTTGAATGACTCATGTTACTTTTCACATCTAGAATTATTCCACTGGCACCTGAATATTTCAGAGATTAAGGAAGAAAGAAAAGATATAGCTCAAGGGACCAGCAATTGGCATAATGGCTATTTCGCCGGATTCCCATGTGGTCAACTGCAGTTCGAGTCCTGGACCCAGTGGCTTAAACTCACGCTGGGCGCGTGTACATGCATGCCCAAGATCCCGAGAAGAGAATGGAGGAGAAGGGATTGCGGCATGGCCATCCCCCCGGGGGGTGATTTCTCGCTTTCTGTTTCTCTGTCTCTCTCTCTCTCTGTCTGGCGAGCGCATGCACCCTATAGGGAAGAACTCTCCAAAAAAAAAAAAAAAAAAAAAAGATAAAGATCAAGAAAATAATACATAAAAATCGGATTATATCTCTGGCTTAAGATGCCATTATTTGGGGCTAGCTTATAAGTGAGAGCACATCAATTCTTCTTTGGCACTTTAGTCACTAAAACGTGACAAAGAGTAGCAAAGGAAGGATCTGGAAGCAAATAAACGCTCAGAAGTGTTTTTTCCTAGAACCTCGCTGTTTGGTTGAACTTCTTGCTGTGCTGGGAATGTTCTGTAATCCGGCTGTGCAGTGTGGTAGCTGCTAACCCTGCGTGGCTATTGAGCACTGGAAGTGTGCCCAGTGCAACAGAGGGGCTGATTTTCTTTTTTCTTTTTTCTTTTTTTTTCTTTCGCTATAGGGCACATGCGCTTGGCATAGAGACAGAGAGAAAGAGAGAAAGTGAGAAATCATCCCCCAGGGAACCAGCCATGCAGCAGTCCCTTCTCTTCTTCCATCCTCCTCTTGGAATTTTTAGACACACACACACACACACACACACACACACACACACACACACACACGCGCCTGGTATATTTTCCAGGCCACTGGGTCCAGGACTTAAACCACGCAGTCAGCCACATGGGATCCAACCACCTTAACCAGTAACCTGAAGAACTGAATTTTTAAATTTTTTTTAAGGTTTGTTATAGGGTACGTGCACTCACCAGAGAAAGACAAGGAGTGAGACAGCAAAGTGTCCCCTGCGGGGTACAGCTACACCATAATCTGTCCTCCTCCAGTCTCCTTGGGATTTGGGGCATGCACACACACAGTTCATCTTGATTTTCAAGCTGCCAGGTGCAGGACTCAGACTGTAGTCGGCCACGTGGGAGTCCAGCACCTTAACCACCACATCACCTGCTGACCCTATAGGGTGCATTTTAAAACATAAATAAAAATAGAAAAAGGAAGAAGATGAAAAACATTTCTGTGGTTTTTACATCTCTCTGTACTCTCAGGGTCAGACAATACCTATGACTCTAAAATGGTAGTTCCGTAAAAATCCAGGATTCGAGAACTTAAAGGAGAAGCACAGCCAGATGCTTCTGACTAAGCTGTAGTCACTGGGTGGGTGGCTGCACAGACCCAGCGCCTAATGCCACGGGCATGATGTCCAGAGTGCACAGCACCTGAAACCCGAGCCTGATCATCACACTGCAGAGACCTCCAAAGGAGGGTGACCTGCTGCAGCAGGCAGACCCAGATGTCTGATGAACACCAGCTCTAAGACCAGGATATGCCTGGTTTGAAGACTTCAAAAGACTGGTTTATACGCCTCTTTGTTGGGAATGCACCAATCCTTTGGCCCCACAGAGGGCCTCATTTCAGAACCTAATCCTCTTGTGCACAAAGGTGCTTTTTGGATGCCTGTCTGCCTCTGTGCATGTGTGCTGTGCACAGCTTCAGATTGACAGACCAGCCGGGGGGTGTATCTGGGAGCTGAAGCCATTCCCACCACAAGACGGTAGTGTCCCTGATCTGTAAGTTCAGGACTCCTGGTGCCCTTGTACTGTGGCTCTCACTCTTGTTCTGGAAAGAAGTGCTGTAGTCTCCATCTCCTGGGCTCTCTCTACAGCTAGAGAGGAGGTCTGTGCTTGTGGGTTTGGGGATTAAGCCCACCCTTCCCAAAGCAACTGCTTGTTAATGCGGACCCTCTGTCTTCTATGGACATGGTCTTTCTGGAGCTATGCTAAGACCTCCCTTCAGAGGAGAGACTAGCCTTGTAGCCTTCAGAGTCATTCTACCTTATTTATATATTTATGTATTTGTGTATTTACTCATTTATTTAGAGAGATTTTTGCTATAGGGTGCAGGCGAACTCCGATAAAACAGAGAGGGACAGAAAGACAGAAAGCAAAAAATCACTCCCCATGGGGGATGGCCACACCGCAATCCCTTCTCCTCCATTCTCTTCTCAGGACTTCAGGCATACATGCACATGTACCTGGCATGTGTTTCAAGCCACCAGGACTGGGACCTGAACCGTGGTCAGCCACGTGCGAGTCTAGCACCTTAACCACTACACCACCTGCTGTTCCCCATTGTACCCTTTTTAAATAATGGCATCTGTCTTTGGGGATGTGTTGGTTTTTGCAGCTAAGTCTTTGAAGGCACCTGTCTTTCCACCTGCTAGGGAGGGGTGCCTCACCATAACCAATAAATGCTGCAAATATCAGCTCTCATGCCTGTCCCTTTCTTTCCTTTCACCTTAGTCAGATCTTTTTGCTTTTTGCAATAAGTCACCCTCCTAATGCCGCATGCTGCCATGGACTTTACTTGTGCAGTTCATTCTAATGAATTATTGTTATCAGGAAAGTCATGACATATTTTTCTGTTTTTCTGTGCAAAAATGCATCATGACTTTCCCCACAACCCAATATTATGATAGGCATAAGAGCAGGCATTAGATGGAGGGGGAAAGGGCAAGGACGCCGGAGAAAATTAGGATGACTGCTAGGACTTACAACAGGAGCGGTGGGTGACAGGACCGGTGATAAAATGAGAAAGACATAATTAAAAAGGAAAACGAGGCTCTGTTCCCTCCCTTACCCCAGTGCTAGGCAGCTAATCTGCCCAACTGAGTCTCTTTTCTTTTCATTTTTTTCCCTTTTTTCCCCCCTCTTCTTTTCTTCTTTGTCAGTTGGTGTGTGCACTGACCAGAGAGAGAAGAGAGAGAGGAGAGGGAAAGGCACCCCTGACGGGGGCATGACCAGGCTGCAAGCCCTTTTCCTCCATCCATCCATCCTGTGGGGATTTAGGACACACACATGTGCCTGCGGTGTTTTTCAAGCCACTGGGGTGGGGAATGAATTATTGTTATCAGGAAAGTCATGACATATTTTTCTGTTTTTCTGTGCAAAAATGCATCATGACTTTCCCCACAACCCAATATTATGATAGGCATAAGAGCAGGCATTAGATGGAGGGGGAAAGGGCAAGGACGCCGGAGAAAATTAGGATGACTGCTAGGACTTACAACAGGAGCGGTGGGTGACAGGACCGGTGATAAAATGAGAAAGACATAATTAAAAAGGAAAACGAGGCTCTGTTCCCTCCCTTACCCCAGTGCTAGGCAGCTAATCTGCCCAACTGAGTCTCTTTTCTTTTCATTTTTTTCCCTTTTTTCCCCCCTCTTCTTTTCTTCTTTGTCAGTTGGTGTGTGCACTGACCAGAGAGAGAAGAGAGAGAGGAGAGGGAAAGGCACCCCTGACGGGGGCATGACCAGGCTGCAAGCCCTTTTCCTCCATCCATCCATCCTGTGGGGATTTAGGACACACACATGTGCCTGCGGTGTTTTTCAAGCCACTGGGGTGGGATTTGACCTGCAAAACTGACCACGTGGGATCTGACTCTCTTAACCTTGTGGACTTTGAGATTCCATTTTCTTCTTGTCAAAGTGGGCATGACGCAGCTTCCTGGTGGGGAACCACTGGGGGACTAACCTAAATGGTATCAGTGCTCGGAAGTGCCACATGCTCTGACATCCAGTCCTGCTTGCCCCTGTTCTGCCCTCCTTGGAGCTTTTTGCTTCAGATTTTGCTTCAAGTTTCATACTCCAGTAATCTAGATTCACCAGAGATAAGTCATCTAGTATTCTGGGGCCTGAATTCAGCAGGCATCCATGAGGTGCTTATAGATTGGGCTCCTGGTTGCAGCTCCACCCCCACCCCAACACACACACCATGAAAGTAATCTGCCTCGATTCTCACTTCTTTGTCTGTCTGTTGTGAGTATTGTCTGGGAAGTGGAGCCCAGTTTAGCAACCCCAATGCAGGCAAATAATGTTGCACACATTTTACTCAATGTAAGAATGCCTTTCCCCCACTGCTCTCATGTTTATATTTTCTCTTTTCAGGGATCCACACCTTCTGGACCCAACGCTGGAATATGTGAAGGTAGGAAAACAGAATTTATTTAACACGTGGTGACGACCCTTTGTAATGGGTTTCCCATTTCTAACACAATATTGGCAAACAATCTGGTATTTCCAGTAGAAGAGAGATGTCTGATCTGTCAGTTTTTTAAATTTATGGCAACACTTTTATTATTATTATTATTATTATTATTATTATTATTATTATTATTATTTTGGAGAGGTTTTTGCTGTAAGGTGCATGTGCTCACCAGAAAGACAGGGAGAGACAGAGAGACAGAAAGTGAAAAACCACCCCCCCCAGGGGGGATGGCCACGCCTCCATTCTCCGCTCGGGATCTTGGGCACGCACGCATACACGCCTGGCATGAGTTTAAGCCACCGGGTCCAGGACTTGAATCACGGTTGACTACTTGGGAGTCCAGCAACATAGCCATTACGCTAACTGCTGGTCCTGTTTTAACACTTCATTTCACAGATTAAAAAAAATAAAACTTAGGATGGTGAAATGGCTTGCCCCTGGCCTACATGGTTTATAAAAGAATTTCTAAAAACCCAGGCTCTTACTTAGTTAAGGTCCACCCACCACCCCACATCGTTTTCTGTTTTGCTTCACTTTCCTCCACTGCAGAAGACTTGAAAAGCTACAAAAATAACCTTAGAAGAACCATAAGAACCATAAGGCTTATGCTACCCAGTCCCTTACTAATATGTGAGAACGTACAATCAGCATTTGAAATTTTCTAGTTTTCTCATTTACCTCTTCTGTAACTCCTTGCACTAGAAGATCTTTTTTTCCAACTAAAACCATGCTTCAATCTGATTAAGTTCCAGTGTGACCTTGAAACTATGACTAGCTAGCTTTTTCAGAGCACTAGACAAATACAAATGGTATTCAAAAAGTTCATGTAAAATGTGTATTATGAAAAAATTACATATGGATTTCAAAATGGATTTTGGGTGCTCACATCCTTTGGAGCCAAAATTCATCATTATTCCAGGACAAAAGACACCTGTGTCCCCATGCCTTTCCCAAGAGTTTAGGCATTTCTTTCTTCTCTAACCCAGAGGATGGATACCGGGTTCCAGCAGTACCACTTGGTCATGTGGGGCCGTTCTAATGAGCTTGGTTGGAACAGAGGTGGACATGGCTTTTCCCTCTCTTATTCCTGTGTGAGCTGTAAATCTGTATCCCCACCCAGCAGAACCTGGTCAGAGCTGTATAAACAGTATATCCCAGCCCTGTCAGATGCATTGCTTAGGTCGTTGTGCAGGTTGTGTATTGCAAAGCAACAACATCAGGGATGTTATTCACATGGACTATGGTTTGACTTGAGTGTAACATAAAACAAGTGCTCTAGAATCGTGCAGTGTATAAATCACAGCAGCCCTTTAAAGACCGCTCCCGGCTATGATTCCAAAATTGCCGTCTCCTGCCACAGGCCCAGTCAAGCTGTGCTCAGCAACTACATCCCCTGCTCTTTACTCCAACAAGTTTTTCCTTTTACAAAAGTCCAAATACTTTTTAAGACAATCCAGGGATGGGGCAGCCAGGTGACATGGCAATTCAGGTGGCTGGATGCCACATGGCCAACTGCACAGTTTGAGTCTCAGACCCCACGGCTTGAAAACCATGTCCAGTACATGTGCATGCCTAAAATTCCGACAGGAAGGAGAAATGGAGGAGAAGGAATTGTGGCATGGTCATTTCCCCTGGAGGGGATGCTTTCTCACTTTCTCTCCCTCCCTCCCTCATCTCCCTCCCTCCCTCTCTCTCTCTGTCTCTCTCAGTTTCTGGCAAACACATGCCCTATAGCAGAATTAGAAAAAGAAAAAAAAAAAAAAAAAAGATAATCCAGTGATGAATTCTCAGGCTAAAGAGAGAATTTTAGAATGCTTCTAAATTTTGTATTTTGTACACTGTTGCACTTCAGTCATGTATGTCAGGTGTTGTGGACTGCACTTTGTCAACCGAGAAGAGGTATTAGGGCTGCCAGGGGTTTCCATTTATCTGGGCGTTCACTGCCTCTTCCTGGCAGTAGGACACAATGGAACTGCTCTGTGGCAGTGCAGAGAGGTCTCTTTTCAAGGCCTTGTTGAAGGTTTCTCAGAGCACTCTTTCCTCCAACCTGATCTGAACCTGGTCAAAGGCCAGAGCCCGATAATGGCACATGTTTGCCCCTCCTGAATGCACCATGATGTTTTTCTTTCTCATTTTGCCCTTGGTTTAGAGAGATGGCTTGGAAATCTGTCCAGCCAATGTTGGGTATTTTTCTTGTCTCCACGGCCCTGCGGCTCTGTGAGCATGTGCATGGAACGTCATGTGACCTGAAGAGCCAAGGGGAGCCTCGTGCTGGTCCTGGGCCAACTCAGGGCTGTCATAGTGTTTCTCAGACAGAGCTGCCCTTTGGAACCTGGCTCACCAGTGCCATGAAAGCATCATAAATCAATGCCAGCCAGTGCCTCGTGACCAGAGGGAGGCTGAAGGCCAGCAAGGGTGGTAAGGGGGTTGTAAGTAGAGTGGGATACAGCTTTTTTTTGTTTTTTTTTTTTTGGAGAGATTTTCACTGTAGGGCGCGTGCGCTCGCCAGACAGACAGAGAGAGACATAGAGACAGAAAGCGAGAAATCACCCCCCAGGAGGGATGGTCACGCCGCAATCCCTTCTCCTCCATTCTCCTCTCGGGATCTTGGGCACGCACGCACACGCGCCCGGCGTGAGTTTTAAGCCACCGGGTCCGGGACACGAACCGCGGTCGACTACGTGGGAGTCCAGCGACATAGCCATTATGCTAACTGCTGGTTCCCAAGAGTGGGATACAGTTTGACCCCCTTGACTTTGAATCATTCCTTCCCTGTGGTCCCCTGGCCATGGAGAAAAACAGAAGTTCCACGTGAGGTGTGCTACATCATGAAGAGCCCTAGTAGGGTAAGGTTTGTTGGCCTAAATAAACAAGAGTCACGATGCCAGAATTTTAGGAATTCATTGTGATCCAGAACGGGTGTGACTGATCCCTGCCTGAGTCTCATCTGGGCAGTGACAGTGCCGACAGACAGCAGTCCTACTGTGAGGAGCTCTGGCCCCAGGTCTCGCTCTGTGTCTGTAAGTGCTCCTCCCATCCCCACCAGGAGACTTTCTAACCGTCTTCACCTGGTTTTCCCACGCCCAGATAGGAGAGAGCAATCTGGGAAGACTTCTTCCCTCCCAGAATCTGGGGGAGATAAAGCACCGAGCCGAGCCCCGTAGTCAATGGGGCAACAGGAGAGAGCAGGGTAGAGAAAGGATCCCGAACTCAATTCCACCAAGTTTGTATTCTGTGCCCTAGCCTCGTGAGTTTGTCCTACTGCACATATTAATAGGGCCTGAAAGGGGACCAGTTCATTGGTTGCTTAGCTACGAGCAGTTCTCCCCCTTCCCCGTGTGGAATGGAGGGAAATGTGCCCGGCTGGGCAGCCCCGGGGCTGCTTGGAGGCTCTTTCACTTTGTCCAGCAAAGTTCACCTCCTGCTGGGCCTCCCCATAGCACCTAGACCCTAAAGGCTCATTGGAGGTCGGAGGTGATTGGAAAATTAATAGCAGATCCAGAGTAACCCAGGGATTTTGGAATCATATCCTGTTTCCACCTCTTTAATTCTGGCCCTTAGAGAGGAGTTTGGGTTTTCCTTCACCTTGTTCCTTCTTTTCCTCGCCCTTCCTCTCTCTTTTTTCCTCCCTAGTAGCTTACAACAGCACCATCTTTAAGGTCTGATCTTAACTAGTTTGTACAGTTAAAGGATCATGAGGTCTTATTCCATAATCAAATATAATTGATTCTCTCTCACTGTGTCTGAAAGAAGCCATTTCTTCCAGATTGGAAAAGCAGACACCCTCGGCTGCACCGTCGTCCTGCTGTTTCCCGTGCAGTTAGTGACTCTGGTCAGTGGCGTGTAGCTCTGGAATTTTCCTCTGCGTACCTAGCATACCTTACCCTAGATAAAAGCAACATTGTTTTTTTGGTTTTAATAGGAGGAAGTAGCTTTTAGAGACAAGAGCTCCAGGCAAACTTGCGAAGTAGACTTTTATCCATTGGGCTGTTCTACCTACTTTGCCGTGTTTTTTTCCCCCATTAAAACGTATTTACTCTGTGTCCAGTTTCTTAGGCCTGTGTCAGGTAGTTGATTAGAAAATCGTTGTGCAAAATAGTTGTGCAAAATGTTCATAAGTGGTCCCAGCTCAGTGTGTTACCCTTCCCAGATAGCGTTCTTCTAGCAGGGACTTAAATCACACCCTTCCCCACCTCGCTAAGACTCCCTCAGGGAGGGGAGCTGGGTGGGCACTCTGGTTCTGAAG